AAGCTCTGAAAAATCAAAAATGAAAAAAAATTTCCTAAAATGACATCATTTTAGGGGTTTTGTCTGAAAAAATAATAACCCGGTTAACCCAGTCAACCCACTGGGTTATACCGGGTTACACCGGTTCATTCCCTCATCGATTTAGGAGTAAACCCAGACCGAACAAGCGTCCGGGTTGACTCGGTCGATCCGATCCGATTTCAATACCATGATTTTTACATATATATTAATTAAGGGAGTAGTAAAATGTCTACTTTTTTAAGTTTGTGTCAGCTATCAATTTGACACGTTATTTTTTTTTTAATCATCACATGAGTCTTGAAAGTTTTAAAATATAAAGTAATTATTAAAATAATTTAATATGTAAAGTATATTAATGATTTGATATGTATATATAATTAGATGAAAATAAATTAACCGTCAAACCATCTTAATTTTTATCAATATAATCTCTTATATTATGTTTTATCCTTTTTTTTAATTTAGATTTTGTAGTTTTCGTAACTAAATAATTATATTTTTTTTATTAATCTACATTGTTGTCATTAATAATTTGTTATTCATATTAACAATTTTTAATAATGTTACTTTCTTTTTAAATAATAAGAACCCAATCAATAACCGATATAAATTTAAGAGATTATATTAATAAAAAATAAATTTGAGGGATAAAACCAATGGCTGAAACAAATTTGAAATATGAAAAATTAAATATTTAATTGAAAAGGAAAAAAATATAATTAGAAAAAATGTTGAAATAAAAGAGAATGTTTCAATTCCACAAAAAAAAAAAAACATAATGTTTCGGATACTCTATCAGATAGAGTGAGGCAACGAGGGTGAATGTTTCAGAATAAAACAATATAAATGCAATGCCAATGCATTTATGATTTTTTTTTAACACTTAATATATATGGTATTTCATTATCTTGCTAAGTTAGTCCCATGTGCATTGCATGGGATTTCATATTCTTTGTTACATGCATATAGGTTATAAATTTTAGGCATAAGCCACATACCTTTTCTTTTTGGATAAGAAGTTCAAGTATATATTATAGGATAAATAAGTAAATTATCTTCTAAATTTTATATCTAATAGCACAATGGACTATAAATTTATTCATTTGTAAATTATTCCTTCAATATTTGAAAGTGGTGTAATTTAGCTTATGCCATTTAAAAAAATTAACTATGACTCTTAGTTAACTATAAAATAATAAAAAATGACCTCCAAAATTATATAAAAAATACAATAAAAGACTCAAAAGTTACAAATAAGATTTTTTTAGTCATTTTTATAATTTTTTTGGTCCTTTTCTTTCATTCTTTGATTAATTAACTATTAAAATTAACGGTAGGAGTTGAATTGCACCATTTTCAAAAATTAGGAGAATAATTTATACAATAAATAAGTTTAGAGTCTATAATGTTATTAAATTTAAAATTCAAGAAATAATTTACTTATTTATCTTGCATTACATAGAAAGTATATACTAACACAGGTAATAATAAACACTATCCAAAGTGGGTTAAAACCACGTCAACAAAACCATACCAAGTATATATTTTCTATGATTTGGTGTCACAAAACGATACTCCTAGCATTTAAAAATTCTATGATTTTGTGACACCCAAAATTTTGTGGTATCAATAAAACCATGCCAATAGTTTGATGCCACAGTGACACCAAATCCTTTCAGGTAAATAAAAACATACTTATGGGCTCAATTCCTTTTTATGAATGGGTGTGTGTAACTGCTAAATGCTTGGATTAACTAGCAATGAATTGTTTCAACTTAACCAATAATCTCAACCTCATATTTTGAAAATGTAGTGGCATTAAAATTCCGTGGATCAACTAATAATGAATTTCTTGATTTGGATTGGTCCAAGTTTTTGTTAAGTCTTTTGCGTAGAATAGAGTTGACCAAGAATACTAAGTGGGTAAGCAATAAAAAATAATAATAATATGTATAGTAAGAAAGGTGTAAGAATGATGTTTTTTATGATTGTATCTAATTGTTTCCATGGTGCAAGAGACTTTGTTATTTATTTGAATAAAAAAGATATTGGATCTCTCACTTTAAGCACAGCCATGTATGGATTTCACAGTAGTCCCTAGTAAGAGATTTTATTTCAAAAAAATCCTTAAATCAGAAAAGTTTTGTTCAAGTCCTAAGGGATTTTAGTAGAATTAAAATTTTAAATATATTTATATAAATACCCTTCATTATTAAAAAAAAATCCCCCCACACTCCATTACGGTTGCAAGCACCAATGGTGCTAGTGGAAAAGGTTAGGATTTACATACTAAGCTAATCAATCTATTGAACACATTAAACACTCCAAGGCCATTCATTTATAATCAAACTAATAAATAATTAACTAATGTCTATATTATTTCATAAATTGATTTGATTTTTAAAACGATAAGAATTTTAAGGGAAGTTTAAGTTTAAGTTCAAGTTTTATTGTCAAATAAAGATAATCTAGAATGTAGACAAAATATAAAAATAATTAGATGCTATTTTCGTTTCCATGGTACAAACTTTAAAAAAATGAGATGAACTGTTCTTAATTTATGAATAGTGTGATATGCTATCAATCAATATCAATATTAAAAAAATATTAAGAGTCACATTGTTCACAAATTATAGAAAATGCAACTTATTTTAGATTCCATGTAAATATACAAAATGTATCTTATATAATATAAAATTTATAACAATTTTTGTTATTTGTAATCTCTCTCATGGAACCAAGAGAAATTATAGTTATGAACCCAAAAAAAAAAACAGAGAGAAATAATTTATAGTTGATTTTAAAAAATTAAGAAAAAAATTAGAAAGTTGTCAAGGGTTATGAGTGATCATGAAGTACTGACCTCGATTAATTTATTTCCATCCTGATTATATTAAGATGAGTCAATCTTGTCTTAACAAATTTGGGAGAAGACATAATAGGATTGAAATAAAAATGATGTTGGGATAGGACTATGGGAGGTCAAAAACACTTATTGCTTTTATTAACTGTAAAACAAATTCACATGACCCAATTATGTGAAAATTTTGAATATTTTTACTATTTAATGAGTCTATTGTACTTGGTCATGATTCTTTCACTTTAGTCATGTGAAGGTGGGCAAAGTCATGTTTGGGTGTGACCAAAAAGCATGAATTACCATTCCCAATACTATTAATATTACGTGTTTCCTGGTACAAGCAAAGGCAAGACACAAAAGTGAAACCAAATTCACACCCTCCTTACGTTCAAAATATTCATTTAATTTTCCCAAAAGAAAAAAGAAAGGAAAAAAGCATTTATTTAAAGTGCCAACACTAAGCAGTCTAAAGTAAATTTTGTCCCGTCCTTCTCATTACAAAGCTAAAGCTACATTACGCTACCACGGGTCCATGACTCTCACTTTCTTTCAATCGCAATTTGCTTTTGTTCCTCCCATTCCAAAAAAATCGAAAGAATTATGAGTGAATGATAATTAGGTCGAGAAAAAAAAAATTAAAATTAATCCTAGTTAAGTACTTAAGTTCTTAATAAAATTTTGTGAAAAAAAGAGAGTTGAAAATATCAATTTAAATCATTATAAATTCAAGAGTTTCAATTGTAGATAATACATTTAATTTTAAATATAATTCTCACATTATAATTAGAGTTTTTTTTTGTAATTGTTTAAATTAATATTTTCAACTCATTTTTTAAAATACTCTTGCTAAGAATTTAATTATCATTAATTCAATCTTTTGAAATCTAACTATCATTCTTCTAATAATTTTGCTTCTAGATTGAAAATTTAAAACGTTTATTGTAAAATTATTTTACTAGTTAAAGTGATTGGAACATTAAAATAAAATAGAAAAACATATGATTTTTTTTTGTACTTTTCAATTTAACACTTGAGTTCAATTTTAATTTATTTTATTAATTTAATAGGGTTAATATGCAATGAACCCTGAACTATAGGTCATAAGCTTTTAAAAAGTGTATTCTAAACTTTGATGAAGTTTCAACAAATGTTTATTAAATTGGGATCTAATATGTAATTTGTATCAAATGAAGATAGGGGAGAGAAGTAGAGTAAAATTTGACAAAAATAACACATTAAGTCTCAATTTGATAAACGTTTGTCTAAATTAATGATTGAGGTGAAATTATTTCAATTTTAATTATTTAAAATTCAGAATGTACTTTTTAAAAGTTTAGGATTCAAATCACACTTCTAAACCTATAATTCAATATTCAAATTGCATATTAACCTAATTTAATATTCATATATATTATATATATATATTATATATTAGAATTAGACCCAAGTGTAAGTAGCTAAAAACATTTATCTCTCCTGAGGAGGATCAAAATATTTATATATGATCTTTGTTGATAATTGATATTTATTTTATTTTATTTTATTTTATATACTCTTTGCAAAACTAATTTAAATCAAACCTCAATGGCTATTAAGGTTAAATACAAAATTTATAATAAACAAGAATTCTGTTCTAAAATAAAATAAATACTCCCTCTGTTAAGTGTTCAAGGATGTAAAATATTTTTAATTTTTTAATATGTAATCATTATTTTTTTTATTGTTTCTATTGATAATAAATTTATATTTATTGCAAGATATTTAATAAGAATAAATATAAAAAATTAAATTAATTTGAAAGTAAGTAACTACTTTATTGAAAAATTAAATTTAAATAAAAATACCTTATAATTTTTAAAGAGTAACTTGGTGGAGGGAAATAAAAACACATAAATTGAAAGTGAAATAATTTAAATTTCAGAATTGTGTTATAAATGTAATATTATAATTTTATTTTATTTCGCCTTATAAATTTTAATTGCAAATATCATTGATTTCTTTTTTTTGTTGCAATTAGAATCATGATTAATTGCTTAATATGATTTAGTACGTATTGCGCTTGAACAAGATCACCAATCCCACATTAATACGTTACAATAAATCAAACGAAAGTGTCAAATGCTGTAAAATAAATTATATTATATATAAAGAATCCAAAAGATAATTGTAACTAAATAAAAAATCAACAAAAAATCCAACAGAAAATAAATTATTCACGCTAATAATAAAATAGAATACACAATAAAATAATGGAAAGAATATATCATGATATCGTCGACGACTCCAAAATCTGTCTACGCCAGAAAAGCGGCTGCGACAATCACAAAAGCGGCGGAGCCGGCGACGCTAAGTCTGTTCAAAACGGCACCGCTTGTAGCCGGAGCCGGTGCCTGAGATCCCGACGGTGTGGCTGCAATCGACGGGGGATTAGCAGCAGGTGACGCAGATGGAGACACTGGAGGAGAAGGAGGAGAGTTAACGGTGGATGGAGATGGAGCAGTAGCAGATCCGCTCTCAACAGGAGGAGAAGCCATTGGCGAATTCGCAGATGGCGTCACTGCCACTGGAGCCGGAGCCATCGCCCTTCTTGGAGCCGCCGTCGGCGACGTTGCCGGAGAAGAAGCGGGAGATTGTTGCGCCATTGTAGAGCTCACCAACAAAGCAGCCACTAGCATCAACACAATACTGGAGCTCGCCATTGTAGAGATAGAGAAAGAGGAAACAGGGTTTTTAGAGAGAGTGTGTGCGTAAGAGTTGAAATTTCTAAGCTTAGTAATGGAGCTCTTCTGAGGAATCTAAAATTGAGTTGTGACTGAAAAGAGAGGCTTTAGGGGTATTTATAGAAGAAGAAACGCGAGAAGACGCAATATTTGCCGTTGATGAAGTACAATCATTGACGATGATCGAGGTATAATCTAACGGTCTATATTGACTGTTCAAAGTGTGAAAGAAAGGAAACGCGGAGAGAAAGTGACAGTGGTGAATGAGCGAGTCCAAGCTGTGCTTTTGCTTTTTGCTATAGCTACAGCTGTGAATGAATCTCGTGCGTACACGTGGTTTTAAAAAAGGAGGTTTGATGGATGAGCACCGTTGGATGAGGGGGAGTACGTGTGAAAAGTCGCAACGGTCGAATATTGACGTGTTTATTTAATAAAAGGGAAGGAGAAAAGAAGGAAAAGAAAAGAACAATAAAGTTGAAAATTTTTGCAGACTTTTCTGCGGCGAAAAAACGGCACCGAACAACCGCACGACACTGCGGGGACCACGTCGTCGTTCAAAGCCAAAGGGCCTAGATTCTCCTGCTAGCCGTTGCACAAAAAAAAAAAAGCTGGTGAAAATAATATAAAAATGACCAACTATTATATATTTAATTTTTTCCATTTAATTAATCACCCTAAATTACGTTGATTAATTAACCAGGTATTTTTAAAAAATAATTTAATTTATAATTTTTAATTCAGTATCTCAATTCTTGAGAAATTTTATGTTTTGATAACCCCAGTTTTAGTTTTTACAATTTATAATTCATAATTTATAGTTCAAAAGCTTATAATTAAAATTTTCAATTGAAATTCTTTTGATTCAATTATTATTATGAATATTGGTAAAAAATTATTATTATAAATAAATAAATAAATATTTGTGCATCTTAGGAAAATGCTATGCAAGTTTATAGAAATTGAAAGATTTAGATACGTTCTATATGCTTAATATATTTTTATTCAACCGAATCAAAACAAGTAGAATATAATATATTAATAATAAATCTTTTATATAATAAATAATACATAAATGATTTAATATAACAATTTAATTAAAACAAGTATATTAAATATATAAAAATAAATATATAAATTTTTTTTTTTTGAATTAGTCTGCTATAGGAAGCAGCCTATGTTTATTTTGTAATAGGAAAAAAAAAAGCCCTTGAAAATAGACACATATTTTAAAGATAAATATTGTACCAGTCAAGCGTGAAGGATTCTGGAAACTACAATAAATTAATAATATAGCATGCCATCTCACCTTGGTTAGTAAGGAAAGCGTCAAAATAATGAAAAAGTATTCAGCCTTCAATTTAGAAATCGTAAAGCGAAGACGTGGTTGGCGTCCCACTTTACAGGAAAGAAAGCCTGGCCTGGCAACATGTCCAAAGATAAGCTCCCCCCCCTCCCCCCACCCCAAAAAAAACCAGCTGTCCAAAAAAAGTTATTTTATAATATATAACGTATGTATGTATGGTACTTTAATGATTATAGTTGTTTGAAGAATTTGAATTGTGACTGAGTACATAAGTTCACACAAGACAGCAATTCTTTTATGTTATATTTAGATACATATAAATTTAAATTTGAATTTGAGCTAAATTTATTGTTTAAGTAATTAAAAAATATTTAAATTTGAATTTGATCCAAATCTAAATTCAAGTTCTACATCAATTTTTTTGTAATTTAAAATTTATTTTAAATATTTATTATTTCAAATCTTAACTCAATATCTTTTCTAATTTGACTCAAAGTCACGAAAATTTGATCGACCCACCAACAATAATTAAATTGAACCATCGGAGTTGATGAAAACAAGTCGCCACCATTGACTGTGAATGGACGGCTGCAGTTGACGGAAACGAGCCACCACCATTGACCGGGACTGAAAGGCTAACTTCCATAGGAACCGAACTAACGGTGATGATCGAAACAGGATAGTCGACTTCCACTGGGATTGAATGGAAGGTGACCGCAATGATGGGGATCGAATGACCAACTTCCATAGGGATCAAACTAATTGTGACGACTAGAACTAGAGTGACAATGACGATCGGACCGAACGATCAACTTCTACCAATATCGAATTGACAATGACCAGATGGCTCACTTCTATCGGGACCAAATGAACAATGACGATCAGGATGGGACAGCCTAGATAGGACCTTTCGGCATGGAAGTTAGTCTTTTGGTCCCCATCATTGCGGTCGCCATCGGTCTAATCTCGATAGAAGTCTGCCCTCTCGTGCCAATTGTTTGTGTTAGTCCGGTGCCAGTCATCATTGTCAATCCAGTCCCAATAAAAGTCGATCATTCAATCCCCGTCGTCTTGGTTGCCTTCGATTTGATCTCAGAGTAAGTCAACCATGCTGTCTCAGTCGTATCCTTGTCACTATTTATTTAGTCTCGGTATAAGTCAGTCATAGGTCTAGTCTCGGTTGTCACTCCAGTATTAATGGAAGTCGGCTGTCTTGTCTTGATCGTCTCCGTCGGTTTGTTCTCAGCGAAAGTCAATCGTTCGATCCTTGTCATCGTTGTATGATCGATCCAGGTGAAAGTCAGTCATTTGATGTCGGTCTTCACCATCTATCCAATCCTAATGGAAGGTTGTCGTCTGGTCCCCATCGTCGTTCGATTCAGTCCTAATAGTAGTTTGTCATTCCATCCCAGTGCTACAATCCCAATCAACTTTGACTGTCAAATTTCAGTGAAAGTTGGCTATTTGGATCGTCAACTTTGACTAGTCATCCAAGTTTCTTTTAAATTCAAACATAGAATTTAAAATTTAAAATTTTACTTTAGATTCAAATAAAAAATTTTAATATTATAATTTAAATTTTTTGATATCATCCAAACAAAGAATTTAGAATTCATGAATTTTAAATGTGAGATTTTAAATTTAAATTTTCAACTTAAATCCACTCATTTCAACACAACCTTAATGATCTGTACACAATTAAGTTTTTAAACACAATTAACCGCTTCAAATTACCGTCACATCAACTTTCATTAAAGTTGGAGCACTTGTAATACTTTTGAAGAATATATGCAAGCATTTGAATTATGCAATGGTACATAATTATGCATTAATCCATTGAAAATATAAAGTTAGTGAGAGCATAACATTAAATGGAGGCTTCTGCAAAAACAAAGAATGGATCAAGCCATAGTCAAAAGGTTTTAATTTATAAAATGAATATAAACCCATCAAAAAGTATATAACCATTTCGTATGCAATAAATTACTCTATCATTTGCAAACTATCAATAAATCACAAAGTTAATCATTGTGTCATGTCTGGTTATTTCTAACCATACTTGTTTCCTAACCAATGTTTTACATACATCTTTTCTCTGTTATAAATGCATAATTGAAATTAAGAAATACAATATAAATATATTTAAATAAGTCCATAACAATAGAAATTTACTGTGATAAAATTTGATATGTTTTTGCTCCCAGCATAATGCATGAAGAAGTAAAAGCTAGTTTTATATAATATATATATATATATATATATATATATCTCCACACACTTTATCCACATAAAGTGAATTTAGTCACATAAACTTAACTAATTTTGTACTTATCAAAATATGATAGTTATATTTTTAATTAATTTTTAATTATAAATTTTCAACTTTTTTACAATTAATAATATTAATAAATTTTTATTTAGAAATTAAAATATTAAAAAAAGGTTAAAATATACTTTTAGTCTTCTAACTTTATATAAAGTTTTAATTTGATCTTTTAATTTTGTAATGTATATTTTTAATCCTTTAATCATAACATCATTAGTTTTAAATGATTACTTTTTGTGTCAATTATTATTATTTTAAAAAAATTAAACTTAATATGTCAACATTTAAAAATATTTTGTCAATATTTGAAAGGTTAATGTAAAAATTTATTAAAATAAAATTAATAATATTAGGGTTAAATGACTAAAAAGACATTTTATAAAGTTAAAAGATTAAAATAAAATATTATGAAAAATTAAAGAACTAAATGTATACTTTAACCCAAAATTAACAAAGGTAAACTTGAAAAAATATTATTTTTTTTATAACTTTAAATTATATTAAGGATCAATTTTTTTCCTTTAAAATTTGTCTTATATTAATAAGGGTAAACGAGCAAATTACTCACTAAATTTTATATCAAATAACAGTACCATAAATTTTAAATTTGTTTATCATGCAAATTATTTTTTTAAATTTTAAAAATAGTGCAATTTAATATTTATCATTAATTAAAATTAACTTTCACCATTAATTGACTAACAAATTACAAAAAAGGATGTCAAAAATTATAAAAAAAGTCAAGAATTACAATAAAACCCAAGAATTACAGACAGTGACTCAACAATTATGAAAATAACTAAAAAAGTTTTTTGTCCTTTTTGCAACTTTTGAAGTTCTTTTTTAGCCAATTAATAGTTGAAATTAAATTTTATCAATGGACGAATTGTATCATTTTTAAAAATTAAAAAAATAATTTATATAATAAATAAATTTAAGATCTATAGTATTACTAAAGTTTAGAGAATAATTTACCTATTTATCTTATTAAGAGTATGAGATGATAATTTATTTATTTACCCCATTAAAAATATGAGAGGATAATACTTTCAAGTTTCAACTATACTTACCGAATGAATAGGCAGTTGAATTATTAATTATTAATAATATTTAAACGAGAAAAGATTTCCCAGTTTACATTTATTAAATTTATTATGCTCTTAGAAATTTGCGTAGGGGTTAAATTTAAAAAAGTGATTAATGATAAGGATTTTTATGCAAAGTACTTTACTTATCAGCTTTTTAGAGGGTAACTTTTTCATAAAACTGGAGGAAGTAAAAAAAAAAATATATGACATAATCTTTTTTAAAAAATTTAATTATATTTTTATTTACATGGTTTGAAGTTTGAACGGAAACATTATCCATAATTCACCAATCATGAGGCTCATTTTCTTTTAAAAGTACAATCATTTATCTTACTATGTCAATTAGAATTAGAAGATTAAAATACACTCGTATAAAAGAAAATTAAAATATACTCCCTCCGTTAAAAAATATAAAGTATTTTTAATTAAATCTCATCCTCTAATAAAGTAATTATCCACTTTCAAACTAATCCTATCTTTCTATATTCACCCCTATTGAACATCCTATAATAAATATAAAGTCATTATTAATAGGACTACTTTACAAAAAGGATAATTATTACACTTTAAAAGACTAAAAATGTCTTACATTTAATTTCTTAAAAAATACCTTATATTTTTAAATGGAAGGAGTATTATAAAAAATATTAGGTAAATTAAAATATATTATAAGAAAAATTAGGGAAAACTTATGAGATAATAAAATTTTTAGTCTCTCAAATTTGTCTCAATTATCAACTTAGTTTTTTAAATTTAATATTTTTATTAATTTGATTCATTAAATTTGTCTATTTTATCAATTTAATCTTTGTTATTAAAATTTGTTGACTGGGTAACGGAATATAATCAGATCCAATAGATACACTAAAAAAGTGTACTTATCCTCCATCCTATTTTCTAACTGTGATCCATGATTACTTTATATAATTGGGAGAAGATGAAAAATATGGTTTTGCTCCAAAAAAAAAAGGGGGGCCCAGCTTGACAAAAAAAGGTAGAGTGTCAAGAATAAAAGATTAGACCTAAGGCCTCTCTCTCTCTCACATACGACTAATAATGATACAATTTAATTAATATTTATTATAAATAATAAAAAAAAGTTAAAAAAATAATTGATATTAAATTTCTATCTCCATTTTTAACAAATGTGTCTATATATGAGGAATTTAATATTTTATTTTTAGATGATAATAAAGAGAATTTAAATTTATATTGATGAATATTTTAATCTTTATCTTAAATTTAAAATTTTAAATCTTTGTTAAATTTTATGTTAAATTTTATAAGACTTTAATTTATTTTATGTTAAATTTTAAATATTCTGTTTAAATTAAAATGTTAAATTTTTTTTATGAAAAGAGGGCTTAAGGGGCCGACCCTAAACCTTATAAACAAGAGCTGAGTTTTAAAATTAAATCAAATATTAGATAATTAAACTTTAGGGTTTAAGTTCTTAAAGACCAGGCTTATAAGAGTCGGGCATGTCTTGAATCCCACCTTTATTGCGAGGTTGACTATGACAAAAAAATATTAAAAAATTTTATTAAAATAGCTCTAATACACATGCTACCAATAAATTTTGAAGGTGTCCAACTTCCTAACATACACAAATGGAATAAATTATAAAAGATAAGAAATCGATATATGAAATTCAAGTTGAACAGATGAAAAATTATAAGATGGAAAAGTCATTTATATTTTTAATATTTTATATAAATACTATTATTCAACAGTTGTTCAATATTAATGTTCATTAGTTTTATGATATATTTAGTTAGATATGAATGAAATGGAAGTGGCGGGTATTTTAATAAGTTTAATTGAAGAGAAAATGGAGAAATGAGGTTATAAGTTTTTAATTGAGCTTTCTTATTCTTTCCTTCTATATCTTCTCTCTATTAAATGTGACACTAATAGTTATAGTTTGTACCTTTTAAACATCATTTTAAAATTTAATTCTTGAAAGTGTATATGAAAAAATATTATTTATGAGAAAACAATTCCTTAAATGACCTTTATATTTCTTGAGGGATTAGTCTCATTTAATTGTTGGGATACCTTAAGAAAAATTTTTTTAAACCCACTTATTTATTTTTTTAAAAAAATTGAACTCATTAAAATCTTTATCTTTTTTCTTTTCAGTCAAATAAATAAATAAATAAAAATCTCCTTGCGCATGGCACTGGTTGTAAAATCTTGTTATCAAGAGAAGCACGCTAGCACAATCTATTCTTGCAATCAACTCCACCATGTGTCATGATCATTTTAACCTTTTTTTTTCCCCTTTCTTTTGTTATATTACATTACATTACATTATAGAGAAATACTTAGGTAAACCTGATACACTACATTTGCGGTCTGTTGAATAAAAATATAATATTTAGATGACATTAAATATAAATTGATTTTGATATTTAATGATAGTAGAGAGAGAAAATGCAAAAAATAAAAATATGCATTCTATTTGAGAAATAAAATCAATTTAAAAAATTTCACACAAGATTTTATTTATACTACTTGAAATATTTTAATTGGACAGATAAAAAATGACATGGTGCATCTGATCTATCTAAGTATTTCTCTTACATTATATACGCTCTTATCCCTTATCTAAGGTGTTTCAAACATTTTACATGCAGATTAAAAATACTTGTTATATTGCTTTATTTATTAAAAAATATCTCAATATTTCACTTAAATCCTCATTAATTAAAGAGAATTTTCTTGCCTTGCTTAAGTTGCAAGAAAGCTATTAAAATGATAAGGATACAAATGGAACATCATTTAATATTATGATCAGATAACTTTTCACTCACAAATTGTATATTAAGTGAAGAAGTTATTTCTTCTTCTTCTTCTTCTTCTTTTTTTTAAATTTTCCTACACCTTTCTACACCTGTTTTACAGCCTTAACTGATTATAAAACTGATGTAAAAAGTCCACACTATCTATAATGACATTGGTTTTTATATATATGTAAAAGTTCTCTTTTTTTTTTTTTTTTCTGGGGCTATAGGGACGGGTTTAGGATCAGACTGAAACAGCTTTAGATTCATCAACGTTAACCTCATGGCCAGTGCTACCTTCTTGACTGCTCAATTGGCTGTTAAATTCTAAGCCATAGACATGTCCCATTTTCGCACGTTTGGTCTCCAAATATCTCTTATTATCCTTTGTGATCAGAGTTAACAATGGGATCCTACCAGAAACTGTCAAACCATAGCCTTTTAATCCAATATATTTTGCTGGATTGTTTGTCATCAGCTTCATTGATCTAACACCCAAGTCCCTCAGTATCTGCAACCACAATTTCAACATTTCTCCATCAATCATTTCTCTCTATGAGAGTGATCCGTAATGTGTTAGAATTGTATGTAGGACCAGATAATATATTTCAAGTAAAATCTCACTATCACTGTAAATCAAGGTATTAAAAATCAAATTATTCATTAAATTGGCCAAGGTACTAGTTCAAGAGTTAATAATCAGAGTGGTTGTAAACAAAATATTTGATTGAATTAGATAAGGTACTAATTCAATGGTTCACCAATTCATTTATACCCTTATTTCATTTATTTCTTCTTTTTGAAAAAACAAAAATGATGCATCATAATCTCAATTGTTATTATTAAGGTATTTATATAAGATATTTAATTAGGGTATAATTAGAAAGATATAAAAAAAATTTAAAAAAGTAAGGTTCCACCTAACTTTTTTTTTGAGAATCGTGAAGTAGTTATCAATATCCTATATTATAGTCTAAAAAGAGTAAAATGTTAGAATTGTATGTTGCACTAGATAATATAGTCACGTTAACAACAGAGTCATTGGTTTATGAGTTAATGGTCAGCTCGGTAATGAACAAAACATTTCATTGAATTGGTTAATGTACTGATTCAACAGTTCACTAATTCAGCTGGCTATGTTGACCCTGTTTTCAATACTAAGCTGTAAATCACAGCAAACTAAAACAAGAGAAATGGTGGGTTACCTTTGCTCCAATGCCATACTCCCTCGAGTCAACAGGCAATCCCAACTCTTCATTGGCTTCGACAGTATCACGTCCATCATCCTGCAGGTTATAAGCACGAAGCTTATGACCTAATCCAATACCTCTTCCTTCATGTCCACGTAGATATACAAGGACACCCCTCCCAGCAGCCTCAATCTGTTTCATAGCAAGTTCAAGCTGTTTTCCACAATCACACCTACCAGATCCAAATATGTCTCCTGTCAGACATTCTGAATGTACCCTCACAAGAACATCTTCTCCATCTCCAATCTCACCCTGTTCAATAATCAAAACAGTTAAAACGCTAATTCAACTAAGACTTTACCACTGAACAATCTAGAAATCAAATATCAACATGATTGTGATCAGAGCTTGGTATGGGTTGCATTCACCCGGCCTTATCCTCTAATTAACCGTTTTGAGTTTTACATCAAGGAGCCTCCCAAGAAAAGTCAGGTTTGTAAGTCTAAAGAGCTATTTCTTGATGGGAAAAAGAGAGGGAAGAACTATAGGAGAAGCAACAAAAGGTATCAAATCCTCAGGCTACAAGAAACTGTCACAGTTAAGATATGATGGCGAATATGATAGCTTGACAGTTCTTCGAAGTCTCAAATGAGAATTCCATTTTGAAGAAAAAAGTGCAGCTTAGAACTGGCTCAAACAACAGTAAAAACACTTCAGATTTGCATCATTTTTATTTGAAGAGACTCAAACATAGCAGCAAGCTTTGAGGCAATAACTTGAAAATGAAAAAAAGCTTCCCATTGAACTAGAGACTAACGTTGTAGCAAAGTGGCATCTTTCCCATGCACTAGGTTTATGTTGTGTGTGTGTGTGTGAGATATGTGATTTCTATGTTATTTTTTTGTTTTGTGTTGTTTTCAGTATTGGATATTTTACTGTTATGCTATATTGTGGCTTGTGGGGTAAGGGTAGAATTGGCATGATGAGTTTTCTGTACTAGCTAGTTTGCTGCAGAAAAAAAGGACGTGTTAGAGTAACAAACTTTTGCACCTTGAGGAACATGAATACGAATGAAGCTTGGTCCATTTTGGAAATAGATTTTAGGTGATAAAAGAATATTCAGAGCTCTTTGCATCAGTATACTTGTATAAAATCACTCAGTCCGTATACTACTTAGAAGACCTTTTTAACCAAATCATAAAAATTAAAAAAGGTAGTTAAAATTAATTGATGCTATTGATTTTATCAAAAATTACCCCTCATTAAAGCCATTAAACACTGTGAGACTTGAGGGAGTATCAAGATAAGATAGGCTTTGGCCAGATAAAGCATGAGAAAGCATACAGCTAACTCTAGTCTCAAACAACTGTTTGAGTTAATTGCATCAACTTTGAGTACTCTGGAGCATTATTTAAAGCTCAAGTAATGCTCAGGCAACTCACATTATGATAGACTCACTTTTAGTTGGTTCTAGCTAACCCACTTACAAGACTACAAAACTCATTGTAGAATGGGTTGGAAATTGTAATAGCTCTAATTGATTTCTTCTAGCCAGGAAGACCAGAATTGAAAAAAAAAAAAAATCAAATGTAGGTCAGTCCATATGCGTACAAGGTTTGATTCACAATAAATTATTGAACATATGAAAATCGCACTTTGCATGAATATAATAGAAATTCAAGCATGGTCTCACCTTAACCATTGCAATATGCTCAATCCCATCTAAAAGCGATCTGTAACAGTACGCTGAAAATGGACCCCACATTGTAGGAATTCGAGCAACAGAAACACGATCTACTAATTTATCTATCTTCCTTCTATACCTGCAATGATATCATGTGTTAATATATTCACTGCACAACCAAATAAGCAACAATAAAATTCCACACAGCCAAAACCATTGCATGCAAGCTAAAATAACCGAAAAGCAATTATTTTAGTCAAGCATAAGTACCGCCCAAGGATTCACTGCATTAGCTAGAAAACTAAAGCATCAGATAACAGAGTTTAGTTTATGGCATCCATATTAAAAGGAAAATTTAGAAGCAGATGTCACCATACAACCCGTCAAAATAGAACATGAGCCAGGACAAATAACCACATGCCTTATTAAGTCAGCAATGGAAATAATTTTCAAATTCTCACGCTCGGTAAACTGGCGAAGCTTCGGCAATCTAGCCATGGAACCATCTTCATCTACAACCTCACAAAGAACTCCAACAGGTTCCAAACCAGCAAGTACAGCAAGATCAATGGAAGCTTCTGTGTGTCCAGCTCTCTTTAAGACCCCACCTTCCCTGTATTTTAGAGGGAAAATATGGCCTGGACGATTGAAATCACCTGGTTTTGAATCTCTAGATGCAAGAGCCAAAACTGTTGCTGCTCTATCATGAGCCGAAACCCCGGTGGTGGTACCATGTTTAGCATCCTACAAATGCAGTGCAAATTGTTAAAGCTTACAATGAAATGCATAGTACAAATAGATGCAGGTGAAACAATTGTGAATTGTCTCAATAAAGTTCAGTTCTCATTATTGAGTGGAGAAATGTTATCTGTTCCCGTTGATGATACTAATGCATGACCTTGATGAGAGACATACACATGATTAATTCCAATTGTACTGATGCATGTAAAAGTTTAACATACCACTGTCACAGTGAATGCTGTACAAAGTTTCTCTTCATTATCCTTACTGTTTACCATCAAAGGGAGCTTTAATCTTTCTAAATCTTCCTCTTTCATGCTTACACATACTATCCCAGTTCCATGTTTCACAATAAAAGCCATAGCCTCAGGTGTTGCCAATTCTGCTGCCATAATCAGGTCCCCTTCATTTTCTCTGTCCTCATCATCTACAACCAATACCATCTGCAAAATTAAATATCAGTCAGTAACGGAATGCTAAGTCATCGGTCAAGCAAAAGCAAAACTTCATGCAATGTTTGGTTGGTAGAAGAGTGTTTTCTAGAAAGGAAATGGTAAATACACCTATCCCATTTTTCTTTCTAGATGCATTCTCCATTTCCTTTCTAGAAAACACTTTTTTGTGTGCCAAACATGCAATTAACACCGAATGAGGGAGACCGAGATAGGAACAGGGAACAAAAAAATCAACCTTTCCCTTGCGAATGTCTTCTATTGCCTCAGGAATTGAGGCAAATCCTTCTGATGGCCTGTCCAAATCAAATTCATCCTTGTCAACAGGAAAGCCATTGGTTGTTAACACGGCGTCTGCTGCTCGTGCTCCGAATGCTATTTCGTCAGGCTGTACATCAATTCCTCCTGATTCATGGCCATTTAAATCTTCACTTTTCATAGCATCATTGCCATTTGAATAAGAAAGAAGATCACCTCCTCCAGAGATCAATGTTGCTTTAGGTATACTAGCAACATTGTCACTTGCAGAAAATTTAGAATTCAGATGGACAAAAGCAAGTTCATGTCTGTGTCCATTTACGAAAGATGAATTCATACTGTGCAATCCATTAAACATTTTGAACTGCTTACATGTCCTGCACAGAACAGAAGATTCCAAGTTTAATTGGTAACCATGATATCCAAACATTATTACCGCACATTAAATAGAAGTGGAAAAAAAGAGCTGAAAATTTCAAAATTATGGACACAAGGACATGATGAGAAGCCGTTCACGCTACATAACCCCCCAGCACACAAAGCCAGCGCAAGGCTCAGTAAGTTGAACCTTCATAAGACATGGCCTAGCATTCTTCTCCAATGACATGGCATGGAAGGTCACAGGCAAATAACGGTGGTCCAGAAACTGACACATGTAAGAAAAGCGCAACAAAAGAAAAACACAGGGCCAAACTATCCGGATCTACCGAGGCTAAAGTGTCTCTGAAGTGGGAAAGTGAGTGACACACAATAAGGGAGTATTTGTATCAACCCACTCCCTCTCTTACTTCATAAGCGCTTAACAAGCTTTTCACTTCAAATGATTCAAATCCTTGATCAAATCCAAGCAACAGGTCATTCAATTACAGCAGTGAATGCGCCTGGAAAAAATAAAACTGAAGACAGAAATATTTTCATCATATAGTATATGGAATCCGTGATAACTGAAAATTGCAGTAATATCTTAATTTTTCAGTGCAATATGTAAGGACTTGTCAGATATCTGTTAATTATTGAGCCTTCATTGATAATTTCCACTTCCAGCATTAAATAGTGCCAGAGATCAAATGCCAACTCAGCCTTGAGTTGTTAACAGGTTGAAGTCAAATAAGAACTGTTGAGCATAAATTATGAGTTCAAGATTAAGATTAAATTTAAACAAGTTAGGCTGAGAAGCTTTGTCTAATGGTATTGGTATCCCAAACTCAAAACCCCCCGAAAAAAAAAGAAAAAAGAAAGTAATAAATTGTTCTCTACTCTACATTTACATCAGGCTACCATTTTTGCATTTACCATCTTCTGGCATTGAAAATTTTTTGAAACAGGAAAACCGCATCCCATATACAGTACCATTCAATACAAGTGAAATCTCACGCAAACTGTGGGTCATGGAAGTCAAATGGTTTCCCAGAGTTGAAAATTCATCACACATATTCATAAATGAAGATTTCAGACAAAGGAAACCCATACTAATTAAGAAGGAAGCACAGACAGAGGGAAGGTGAAAACACAAACAAAATGACTACACTCAGACAAGCAATAACCAGAGAATTAATCAACTGGTTAAAACAAGCCCAGAAAAAGAAAGAAAATAAAGGAAGAAACTTGAAAACGGAAGAGAGAATATACCGCGGGCATGAGAGAGATGACATTGGAGAATAAGAGAGATTGAAAGAAGCCATTTTTTGTTTGGTGAATATCGCAGCCATTTCTGCTATATATATATATATATATTTGAACAGCGAAGAAGGAAGAAAATGAAGCAACTCGGGGAAGCATGAAGCATCCACGAACATTAAAACGTGAGAGGGAATGGTCTGCAACGTGCTGTTGACAATATAATAACAACATGAACGAAAATGCAACCTTCCAATATTTTCATAAATATAATAACAAAATGATGATATGTGCCCTTGCGGTGTAAGCAAAACTCAGGATTAACCGTTAACAAATATAACACGCAATTAATAATGGGATTTAAATCCTGCGAAATTAGAATTAGTGAATTTGTGTGAAACTTTCTTCTCTAACAAAGAGAGAGAAGATTTTATATTTTATAAAAACTAGTAAAATGAAAAAATACTAAAAAAAATTTACAAAAAATTCCCTATTTTTAATTGTAGAGGATTTAAATTTTTAATGATAAGTGGGGGAGAAATAAACCATACTCCACAGAAAGAGAATTTTTTTTATTTTTAAGTTATTTATTAACTTTTTTTATCATAAATTTTTCCCTTTATACTAAGCGAAAATGTGTATATTTAATTATGATAAATATATATATATATATATATATAATAGATATATAAATTTATTAAAATTTTAGATAGAATTAATGAGTTTTTAAAATTAATTTTTTTAATTTCAGTTAAACATATTTGAAATAATTAATAAATAAGTTTAAAGAATTCTGCTGAGAATGTGCTTTCAATAAAATTATGAAAAAATAAGAATAAAATCTTTTTAAATTATGTAAATGACATTTTGGTTTTTGAAAATGCCATAATTCTTTCAAAGTCTCTAAGAACTTTTTTACCATTAAAAAATTAATGTAAATGACCAAGTTGCGTTTAATTTAATCATTAATTGCAATTCATAAATTTTATTCAAAATTTACAACTTTTCTTTTTAAAACCACAAGAATTCAATAGCAATTTGTAATTAAAATGTTGATATTCCTCAAGTATTATAAATATCAATTATCATTCATAAATTTTATTTTAAAATTCACAAATTTTCTTTTTAAAAAATCACAAGAATTCAACAGCAACTCACAAATTTGAATTAAGGATAATTTGATCATTTATATTAATTTTTTTAATGACTGAAAAGTCTTTAATATTTCAAAAGAATTATGACATTTCTAGAGGTCAAAATGTCATTTACACAATTTAAAGGGATTTTATTATCATTTTCTCTAAAATTATCTCCAATATAAAATGATGATAGGGAAAATGACAATAATATATTTTCAAATTATATAAATAATAATCTAATCTCTCAAAATATCATAATTTTACTAAAATTCATAGAGATTTATTTGTCAATAAATTTTAAATTGAAAAGATAATTTTATCGTTATTGATAAGTTGTGATTTCTTACTCAATTCTTACAATTCTTTGAAGAAAAGTTGTGATTCTTTAAACAAAAGTTATGAATGAGATTTGTTATTTTGAGAACTTTTTTTAACAAATTATAATTTTTTGTTCAACTCTTGTGATTCATAAATTAAAAGTTGTGATTGTGGCTTATTTTTTAATAACAAAAATTAAATTTGATAAGTCATGATTTATTGTTTAACTCTTGTGATTTACAAAATAAAAGTTATGATTCCTTAAATAAAAATTATGATTGGAGTTTATTATTTTTAAATAAAGATAAAATAATCTTTTTACTTTCAAATTTATTGACATAGAAGTCTTTAGAGATTTAATTAGAACTATAATATTTTAAAAGATCAAGTTATTATTTATATTATGTGGAGAGATTTTATTGCCATTTGCCCATGATGATAAGCATTAGCAATAAAAATATGAGACTGGAAGAAATATACAGCCATAAAATGCCAAGGGAGTCCCATTAATACGTTACCCATGTTGAGTAGAATTTATTTAACGTATGTCAGTTTGACGTTTCGATTTTTGTTTAAATGATTATCAATTTTTGTTTTTTGCCAACAATGATTTTCAGTTTATCACTATAGAATTCCAATAAGTATTAATTATTTAAAAAATTTGACCCTTCATTGCTATAAAAGTTATTAGTCAAATCTTCGTAAATACTCATTCTATTTAAAAATATAAAAAATTTTTAATTAAATTTTGTGTTTCAATAAAATAGTTACTTATTATTAAATTAATTTTATTTTTTTATATGTATCCTTATTTAATAAAGTGTTTTATCCTAAAAAATATAAAGTAATTTATTTAATAGGGATACTTTTAAAAAAATAATAATAATTATACCTTAAAAGACTCAAAATATTTTAAATTTTTGAACATCAAATTTCTCAAAATGTTTTATATTTTTGAATGGAGGGAGTATACACTTTAGTGTTAATTAAAGATTAAAGATATTATATTTAATTAAAATCAAATTTTATTTCATTTTAAGTCATATAATATGTAATTAATAATTTTTTAAAATATCTTATAATCAAATCAAAATAAAATAGAAGTAATATACTTATATACTCTTTCCGTTTAAAAATATAAAATATTTTTTAAAGAGTTTAATGTTTAAAAATATAAGACATTTTAGTCTTTCGAGATATAATTATTGCCTTTTTTAAAGCGTCCCTATTGATAATGGCTTTATATTTATTATAGAGTGTTTAATAGGGATAAATATAAAAAGATATAGTTAGTTAAAAAATAGATAATTATTTTATTGGAGTTAAAATTTAATTAAAAATATTTTATATTTTTAAATGGAGAGAATAATAATATCACACCTGCATGCAAAAGCAGTTTGGTGTGACACGTTAACTCATTCTAATAATTGATCTATTTAAACATGTTGAATGGGCAACTTTGATAGACCTATAATAACCCTGATTGGACAATTTTAAATTGTTTTCCATTTTACTATTATAATGATATTAGAAAAAATGACAATAAAATTCATTCAAATTATATAAATAATAGTATGATATCTTAAAATATCATAATTTTATTGAAGTCCTCAAAATTTTTTGTATCAATAAAATTTAAAGTAAAAATATTATTTTATCTTTGTTGAAAATAACAAGCTCCAATCATAACTTTTGCTAAAGAAATAATAATTTTTGTTCTGTGAATCATAAGAATTAAATAAGAAATCATAATTTGTCAAGTATAATTTTATCTCAAAATAACAAGCTCCAATCATAACTTTTGTTTAAGAAATAACAATTTCTTTTTTGTGAATCATAAGAGTTGAATAAAAAAATGTAACTTTTGAAATTTAATTTATGTTATTAAAAATAAGTTCTCAAAATAACAAACTCCAGCCATAATTTTTGTTTACAGAGTAATAATTTTTATTTAAAGAATCATAAAAATTAAACAAAAATTACCACTTATTAATAAAGAAAAAAATGATCTTTTTAATTTAAAATTTATAACATAAAAGTCCTTAGGGACTTCAATAGAATTATAACATTTTGAAGGATGATATTGTCATTTATATAATTTGAAGAATTTTATTATTATTTTTGCATGACATTATCATTATTTTTAATATTTTATTTATCATCATATAAATATTATTTTTATTTAGTTATTATGTTGCCAATTAAATTACCAGTATAACTAATTAAATCATGAGAAGCATGATCACGTTTTTATTTTAGTATAACTAGTTAAATTTGAAAAACATGACCAAGCGTGTTTGTGAGAGAAAATGTTGATAGGGATACGATGAAATTCTGAGTTGTGGCATCATTTAGTTGACCAGTTTTGCTTCGGCTAGGCCTAATTTCTTTTGGCTGCGCGCTCTAGTGGATAAAATTACCATCATACTCTTGTCGTGCACGCCCTTCCAACTTTATAAACGTGCGAAACGTTTCTTACTATTTTATCGAAATAAAAAAAGTAATTTAATTTAATTTTTTATTTTTATTTAAAAATAAAATAGACTTTTAACTTTACCTGTACTTAAATAAAAAAATTTAAATTTGCATTTCACATTATTTCTCATAGTTAATGAATTTAAATAGAGGTAATATTAAAAATAAAATAGACTTTTGGTCTCTGTACTTTATTTACATTTTGCTTTATTTTTATACTTTTTTTTAACATTTTAGGTCCCTATATTTTTATTTTTATTATTTTAAATCTTTTTAAAGTCTCTATACTTTGCTCATAGATGGACAAAAAATAATGAAAATAAAAGTATAAAACTTAAAATACAGAAAAAAATATAAAGATCAAAATTAAAATACGAGTAAAGTATAGGGACTAAAAGTTATGTTTATCCAAAAATTTAACTAGTACCTCATAGTATATTAAAGACAAAAAAATGCTTCTAGAAGGTGCTCTATAATAAGGATTAGAGGAAGTATGTTGTATATATATATATATATATATATAAAAGTTATTTCTAGCTATATCTTTTAATAAGAGGTGGTTAAATTATTAATATTTTTTAAAAATAAAAAAATTGTTACTTACATAGGTCAGTCCAGTTGGCAAGGATTTGTTCCAAATTCACAAGGTCAAAGGAATCAAATTCCACTACTTACATAAAAGACCTCATTGATGGACAATTTATAAATAATTATATAAACACTTTTTAAATTTGGAAGTATGTCATGGCCCGAAAAACACTTAAAATTCAATTTACTTAAAATTTTTTAAAAAAAAAATAGAGAAAAAGGTTTTTAGTTTACCCTTATTAATTGCATCAATTTAAAAATATTTTTTCTCACATATATAATATTTTACTCTACACGAAAAAAATGCGTAAAGAATAAATTGAAAAAAAATAATTACTAAAATAATCATCAAGTCCGACAAAAATATAACTTATATATAAAGGCTTTTTTTTTTTTTGGCCAACGAACTTGAAGGCTTGAACCATGCATGTACCTTTAGCTAATTGCCAAATAGCAATAAGTTAAATGAGTGCGAAATTTTATATATCATAGTATTAAAGAAAATTGTATGGATCAAGCAGGCATAAGATACTAAAAAATATAA